GAGAAAAGATAAACGTGAGAAAAGATAAACGATCTCGTTTAGCGCTTGATAAATACGCATGTTGTAGACTAGTGTTCTCGCTATTCGAACTATTTGTATCACGAACGGAATAAAAACGAAGGAAATCGAGGATTAGAGATAATGGCCTAGTTTACACCGATCACTTGATACGCATATTAAATAGTAAATAACTAGTAAATAAGTCTGATTATTGGCTGATCAGTTCAAATATACTATTTGATACACGTATCAAGAGATCGGTGTAAACCAGGCCAATTATTTTTCATAGAGAACTTTTTTTGATCATTAGATTCGAAATAATGAAAAATTAATCAACGAGTAATTGTACGAATAAAAGTATCAAATCGGAAAATATTCTAATTTCAAATATACAAGCATATATCTAGAAAAGGTAAAAAAATGTTTGAAGTACCTAAAATGAACGTATTAAAATCATTTCTAAATAAATTGCTCGCATGTTTGTATATTAATTAATCGAAAAGTAATCACAACACATGGCGCGGTATCTCTAATTTTAAAAGTCGAAGAAAAGCTTTCAGTTCACATTGTTAATAGCCGGCTGTGCTTTGTCGTTGATGCATTTATCGGGGAAATCGGTCCCATTCGCGACGACATTTTTCAACAATCGCGTTCGTGTTTTTTTTTTTTACACGACTGAAAACTGACACTTGAGATTATACCTGATCGCGCACGTGCTCATCACCACGGAAATGCATTCGCGAATGTGCATACATTCTCGTAGAGGGCTTTGTTTCACTCGCAGATAGTTGTACAGTAGTTTAGCAAAGATGTGATCCCTTCGGCGTGATGCATTTATATGTATATCGTGTATTACCCCATATCATGTAAATATGAAAGAAAAGTTGTGCGTTATCGCTTTAATGATTCTGAAGAAAAAAAATATATATACATATATAAATGTGTTTGTCACACACATTATAGTATTAACATTGATAAATGTAGAAGAGACACGAGAGGTGTTTAAGCTGTACGACGGTCTAAGAAATGTTACGTGTGCAATTATATATTTTCGATACTGTCGAAAAAAAAAATTGTTTATTCTATACAAAGAAACGTATTAATCTCCCACACAAATTGCCCATAAGCTGCCTACACGTGGAAAGTGTAATCCGAATTACGCTAAAATGGGCCTACCATTTTTTCGTCGATGAAACTTATCACTAAGTGATATTAATACTTTGTCTCGATTTAATTAAATATCTATAGGAGATTGTTAAAAGGAGAGTGGATAAGAAGAAAATTGTGAAATTGTCGATAGTCGGTGATAGCAAGCGATCACCCCCGCATTTTTTTTGCTGATCTATAGGAGGCGTAAAAAAAGGCTGTATAGAGCATATCTTCTTATACTCGACGAATTTCGCGAGAAAGAAACGGTTTTTGTAGCCTTTCAAGTGCCTTACCGAACCAATCGAGGAACCGAATCGATCGTAGAAGGACGCGGAAACGTTAAATCAACCTCTCCCCCCCTTTAGTTATTCAGATGTTGAGCGTACGTTTCGGATCCCGAAAGATGCAAAGATCGTCTCTTAGAGTAAATAGAGAAAACTGGATTTAACCACCACGTCATTGTAATATTATGTAATAATATACAGAATAACAAGTGAAATTCTACACACAGACATACATACACGCGCGCATTTACAATGAACAGATTTTCTTTCCATTGATGTAAATAAAGCTGCCATCGCAAATTACGGTTCGACAACAGAAGTTCCTTTCTCTCTTTATTGCATGCACATCCCACAGTATCGCGCCAGCTTCCGTGGCGCGTCCTTAAAAAATTACAAAATCATCGACTTAAGTGTATAATGCGGAACATTTAGGACATCGTATGTACGTACGTGTGGCTAATCAAATCCCCGGAAAAGGTTCGAACTCGCTTTTCCCTTATCGGTACGAGGTATGCACTATGTGACACTTTGTATATGTTTCATTCAGATTTTTGGCGATTTAGTCATTATATTACATTACATCTCGATTTTATTCTTACGATTCACGTAGAAATGTTTCGTGTACAAAAAGAGGAATGTAACAGCGAGTTTTTTTTTTTTTTTCAACACGTTGGCAATGAATTCGCGCGTAACAATGGTCTCTCCGCGGTTTTTCACAAAAACGGGATAAGACTCAAGATAATTACTCTTCGGACTTTATCACTGGCGAACTTCGTTCAATATTATGTAAAGACTTCTCGAACGCAAGGACGATATATTGATCGCAATTGTAATCGTTGTAATTTGCGTATATAGCGGCACATTTTAACGGAAACACCAGAATACCTTAATCATACATTTGTCTGATTCTTGTTTCAAATTATTTTCGTTTAAATAATATCTATTCATATATCGTGTTAGATTGATCAAGAAACTTTTACACCTTTTAACATATTGTGGACCGATGATATGCAAATTATAATAGTCGGTAAAATATATATATTTTTTACCGCGTCAATGGAATATAATGATTTCGAACGGTCCACGATTTGTTAATATAAGACTCATTGGCCAATCTATCGCATGATTAGGTTCTGTTGACAATGTATTTTATCCACAATAACGATTTTGTTTTTGACAGTACAAAATTTCGATACTAAAAGATATGACCGATAGCGTCTCGAAACATATGTGAAACTAAGTGGTAACGGTAATGATTGCTAGCTATATTGGAAAAAAAAAGACGTAAGAGTGGTATTGGACCTTAAACGGATCTCGAGGGGACAGATATCCATCGAAATAAAGATTACTAGCTACGTTACTAATGTATCAATCACGATTACGTTGGAAATGGTTGCGAGAGATGTATTTTTCCTTTTTATTTTAACGTTATTTCTTATCGATCCTTGCAACTCGTCTCGCAGCCTGCCGAAGGAGCGTAAGGTGCTTGACATTCACGTTGTACGTGCAACCGACCGCGCTTTTTTTCATTTTACTAACAAATGAACAAGTTTATAGTTCGTCGTGCCTGTCGGACGACTCGGCCGCACTGGGATTGCAGAGCGCAGGTGTGGAGAACTCCATGGCGTACTCGCAGCGACTCGGCTCCGTTACCGATATGATCCCGTTCTCCGTTCCGCACGACAAGGTGACGATCGTGGAACGTGCCGGACCGTTCCAGCAAGTGAGGCCACGATCGTACTTCATCTTGGTGTATTTGGCACCGACCGGTCCGACCCATTCGTTCCAGTGGCCGAGATTGACGCTACTGCCGCCGGATTTGGACCTCTGGGTCGCCATGGAGTATAGGCACAGCTTGTAAATGTACTCCAAGTCCGTGTACTCGAAGCACTCGCCGTCGAGCGGCGCGAACACCTCCTCCGGCCCGTAATCGCGGTCCATCTTCTCCTCCAGCTGTCTGATCTCCGACTGCAAGTCATTGAGGGCCTTCTCCGCCTCCTGGAAACGTTCGCGGGCACCGGTGGCCTCGTTGACGAGCGCCTGCGTCTCCTCGTCGTATTGAACTTCCGGTTCCAATGGTTCCTTCTCGTGTTCCTCCTCGGGAACGTCCTCTTCCTCTCCCTCGGAAATTTCTCCCTCCTTCTCCTGATCCAGGTCTTCGATAGGCTGCTGCTCGTCGGTCTCTTCCTTATCCGTCGCCGCTTTGAACATACCTGCAATTACATAACGAAATTGATAGCTTGCGAATAGGTCGCAGAAAAAAAAGAAGATAAGCAAGCCTCAACGTTATCTACCTTGCTCCAACATCAAGAAAGGCTTTATGTTTGCCCACGCGTTATCTACGAACTCTTGCAAAGAGACTTCCTTCTTATCGCCGAGGAAATACAGCGCTTCCTCCTCCGACACGGCGCCGTCCCTGTTCTTGTCGAACGTAACCCTGGTCTGCAGCTCTGCCGTCGTTACCGTACCGCTGGAATCCGAGTCCAATATTTTAAAATAATCCTCCGCTTCGGAAACGCTCGAGTCCTCGTCCTCGTCTTCCTCCCCGATGGTCTCCTCGGCGGTCGGCTGTTCCGTCTCGGCAGGCTTGTACTTCTCCAACGCCAGGCTCTCCAGCTCTTCCGCCTGCTTCTTCAGGATCTCCTTCTCCTTCTTGATCAACTCCGCCTCCGTGTAGTCCGTTCTCAACTTGGCCAGGCGCGACTGGTGCTCCGTCCTGAGGGTCTTACCCCTGGCCACCAGTTCCAGGCGCAGCTTGTTACCCTCCCGCGCCAGCTGTTCCGCCTTCTGCTGCTCCAGACGTGCCTCCCTACCCAGCTCGCTGCAGTTGTCGACGCACGCCACCCTGGACGCGTACTCGTCGCTCGTGTCGCAGCAGTCGCAGACGCCGTCGTTGACCCAGGACGACGGTATGTAGGCCGGCTTGTGGCCGGTGTTCTCGCAGTAGAAGAAGCCGTTGGCGCACGCCGCCGTGCCGGGCTCGTCGCTACCGTCCCCGCAGTCGCAGTAGTCGTCGTTTACCCGCGTGAACGGTATCAGCCGGCTGCCGTCCAGGCACTCGAAGTCGCTGTCCGGCCGGTAGAGCGGGTTCTTCGCCACCGGTATGCCGCGTATCTGCAGCACCCCCGAGCCGGCTACGTGGCCCGGCGTGTACGCGGCCAGGAGCAGGCTCGCCGACACCGCGAACGCGGCCAGGAGCCGTGACGCCCGGTGACCGTCCATCCCTCTGGCACCTCCGGCAGTTTCTCTCACGTCGCAAGGTCGCGCGTCGGCTCCGCCCGGGTTGAGATCGAGATGCGAGCGCGAAGGACTGTCCCTTTTGAGGTTCAAGTGCGGACGCGAGACGACAGTCACGACACTCACGACACGACACTCGGCACTCGGCACTCGGTCACTCGGCGCCACGCTTCTCCGAAAGTTCGCCCGGGGGCGACACCTGACACTGACAATGAAGACAACTTCGGCAACTTCAAACGCCTTCCCACTTGAAAAGAGCCGCGTCTAATCGAATAATAGATATAATTATTTGATCTATTATTTTACCGATTACTCGAACGCGGCTTTCTTCAGGTGAGAAGGGCATTAATGACGCCGTCTGTACCCGCGCCGGAGAGGGAAAAAGGGAGCAAATGCGAGAAAAGGCGCGCGGACATGTATGATTCGGCGGTAACGAGATTTGCTCTGGCCGCATCCTCGAAAAATCCGAGAAAAGTTATCGGGGATACATGACTCGCGAGGAGGTGCTCGGAGTGCCGCGAGTCGAACTCCAATTCGAATCTCGCGCCCTTCGGCGAAGTGAGCCGCGAATTCTAATATCAGGAACCGAATTCAAGATATTAGGAGAGTATGATATTTAAAAGTGAGAAATTAAATTCTGTGCCTGCCGCGAATTTTGAAGGATAATTCTTTCCGTGCACTTTTGCGAATCGATTTCCGCGAACGACAAATCCGCACACTTTGGAGTGTCCAGAATTAATATTCCCGGAGTTTCTTCACCTCTCGCGCTTTTGCACAAAGTTAAAAACAATGACGCGTTAGTAAAACATAAAACGGTAATATTTTTATCTAGATGATCGATATAATTATTATATCTAATAATCATATATTTATCTCCTTATACTAATATAGAGATTTAAATTTATCTGTGTTAATATTACATGTATATAATATCTATAGGTAAAAATCATCTAACAAGATAATCAGCACAAATCTTGAAGTATCCATTAGTCTAATTAGACGCAAAATAAGATAATCGGCCGCTTCTCGCCGCGCGGAACACAAGAATTCGAGGAAGCGGAACGCCGGATGGTATCAGAAGCACATCAAACTAAACTGAGTTGCCAATTTCAAAAGCGCAGTCGCACGCGGGGAGGTGATGCACCAAAGATGCAAAAGGAATAACAAAGAGGAATGGATCGGGAGATAAAATCGCCGATCGCGATCTCTTCGCCGCGGTGACGCGTTTGCCTTGTTTTTCCTTCTGCGAGATTCAGAGCGGCATTCTCTCTCTCTCTCACGCGCCTGTTTCTCGTTTCAGGTGCGAGAAGCGTCAACCGCAGCGAGGCGCCGCGCCGTCGGGACGCGTCGCGATATCCCGCTACTATCCGTCCTGAGAACGTCGGGCGAGCTCGAAAGTGCCTTCTCATGGAGTATGACTCGCTATCGCGCTCCGACGTGATTAGGGATACCCGGGAGACCAGGTGAGGCCGCCCGTCGACGCGCGGCATTGTGATGAGACCTCCGCGTAGCGCGGAGATTCAACCTGACTGTACCTTCCCTCCTCTCTTCCAGCGTTTTCTCGTTTCAGACAGTAGTGTGAACGCGACGTCATCGACGGAGAGACCGCAAGAGGAAGAGGAACGGCTAGGAAATCGCAAATTTTGTCGCGCAAATAAAGCGGAAACAGAATCGAGGAAATCGTGTCGGGGGCGATACGTTGAAATCGACCAACTTCCGCTCTGCCTGCTGCCATTGTGCGCGGACGAGTCACCTGCCGTGCTCCGCGCAGTCCGCGCATCATGGCGACGCTCAGCTGGTAGTGACGAGTGACGACACTCGGCTGCTGCTGGCTAGTGAGGGGCACCGAGGGGGTATGTGACGGCTGCGTTTGGACGGGCTACCTCGGGCTACTGCGACGGCATCGTTGTTATCTCGATCGCGTTGGCCGAGCGTCCACTCGGTGCTGCTCTCGCGAGTCGACGAGCTCCGCGGAGAGCGACGGTCCAGGTGAAATGGCAACAAGGTGCACGGTCGCTGTCGCGCTGCCGCCGTCGCTGCCGCGTCCGCACGGGATTCTGTAATCGCTCGCGCGGAACGGGAAAGCGGGATCGGGGTAGACGCGCGGATGCGACGCGCGAGCGACCTGCAAAGCTGACAGCTCGCCGCTAGCTAGTGAGAGACAGAGAAAGTGAGGGAGAGAGAAAGGGAGAGAGATAGAGAGAGAACCATGGGCAACTGTTTGAAGCGCACCGCTGGCAACCAACAGGACAATACCACCCTCCTGAGCAACAATCCCGAGCCCAACGTGTCCGCGAGCGGATCCTCGCAGGAGGGCCTCGGGCCGCCGATCCCCTACAACGTAATTCACGTACATCGCCATTGCTGTCTTATCGTCGTTGTTGCCTTGTCGTCCGAAATCCAAGCTATATCGCAATCTTCTATAACCTTTCTGCGATCTCTTTCCTTTGTCCGTTTCTGTCATTGTTTATTTGAATACATTTAGACCTGATTTCAAACATCGAGTAATTAACCGTAGCGCGAAAGACTTCTTACGACAGATTTCTTATGATGCACTGTGACATTGAGCCAATTAACCGTGTCGATTTTATTTTGTCTAACGCGGTATTTTCTTTACTTACAATTGCTTTTATCAGTGATAAAGGGTGATTAATCTCAGAAATATTTACTTGTAAAGAAGAGCACTAGTCATGACATCTAACAAAACATAGAGAATTCTGAAAACCAAACATACATATTTACGTACTTTTGCAAGTACGTAAATATGTTCCAAGGATCCGTAAGTGACGTGGAAGAAAATGGCACGATTGAATACTAATTGATTTTTCAATGTTCCACAGCAAGCGGCTTATTACCCGTCGATCGCCACGAGGGAACGTCATTTGCAGTCCACCAACTTGAACATTGGCCATGGGATCGGAGTCAATCTGGTGCAGAGCACCGGCTCGGCCGGCTTGAGCGAGGAGGAGCAACAAGTGAGAATTGCGAAGCGTATAGGACTGATACAGCACTTGCCGATGCGCGAGTACGACGGTGCGAAGAAGGGCGAGTGCGTGATATGCATGATGGAGCTGCTAGTGGGCGAGGAAGTGCGTTATCTACCTTGCATGCACACCTACCACGCGATCTGCATCGACGACTGGTTGCTGCGCTCGTTGACCTGTCCGTCATGCATGGAGCCGGTGGACGCAGCGCTAATTAGCTCATATCATCCGACTACTTAATACCAGAGTGACGAGAGTTTTCATCGGTTTAGCCGAGCGGAATTAAATTACTAAGGCTAAACGTGAAGCGACTGCAGAGAGAGAGAGAGAGAGAAAGAGCGAGAGAAAGTCGTTGCTTTTACTGTAGAGCGTATAAAGGCTTCTGGGTAGTAGAGAGATCGCGTGTCAATGGTTTGATTGTATTTCGCCGTTATACGATATACATATAGGTGGGCGCGCGTGTTGTTTAATATAATAATCTCTATCACACACAAAAGTACACTCTCCCTTAATTAAATCCGCAGGTATCTTTTTTTAGATCGTTCCTTACGAGAAGGCAAACTTGGGACTTGATTTTAATTAAATTTAGTCAATATCACGGCTCCCCGAAACCCTTTTCCGTAGTGAGTTTTTATTGCTTGTACATTTGATTTCTCATTTAGAAAAGAAAGATGAGGAGGCGGCTCGATGTAAGAGTGCAATAAAGCGTTGAGTGTAAGCCCCATGTGCACCGATAGGCATATATAGTCGAAACAATAAGTATATATATTATATATATGCGTAGCAATGAGATAATAAGTGCGACACGTGCGGAAATTATTATGTCCTTTGTATTTCTCGTGCGGCTTTTTGTGTAACACATGTTCGTACACGTTCATACGCGAATGTTAGACGAGCCAACGCAAATTGGCATTTTCTTCTTGCATAATCCGTTTTAATCGCCTCCTTGAGTTGTCCGGATATATAACGTACCTATTCTCGGGTAAAATAAATTAGTCGATAATTTTAAACTTAGGAGATGGGATTTCTTTCGCGGATGCAGATTATACACGTGCGTAGACACTGCAGACCGTCGGGATTGCGTAAATGATAGTCCGCTATATTTTCGTGACGAAAGAAAGACTGTCTCCAACGATACTCGCATACGTTTTAAATTTTCTTGATGCCTCGCGCATGTGTCGTTACGTAAATCGCTTGAACCGCTTTTGCCGCGACGAACATTGAACATTTTTAATTTAAATAACGTGTACAGAGAAAGAATGCTTTATTGTATGCTACGGACGATTAGCGGTTTATTATATCGATAGTGCGGGAATACGTATAGCAACGAATAAAGAGAGCGAACAAAACAGTAAACGTAGAGAGGAAGAGAGAGAGAGGGAGATAAAATGCGATAAATGATCCACACTGTTGAATACTACACGCTAATAATGGGCTACGTAACTTAGATTCTGTTGTTAATTTAGTGGAGCTTGTTGAACTAACTTTTGCTGCAGTTACAGTAAAGCAGTGGACATTTTGACCGTTCCGCGCCAAGTAAAACTTTACCGAGGTATGTACAGTTTAGTGTAGTTTCGTACATCAATGTATAATATGCGATAGTTTTACCGACTTCGTGCGAAGCGACATTTCAAACCGAAGAGAGATAGAGGAAGCGAGAGAGAACGCAATTAAATGTTTAATTTATAAAAAGAGGGGGAAAAACTTAACCACATACGGTACCGCTAAGTTTTCGTTTTAAATGGGAATATGATGCTGTGAAATAGTGATTTATTGACGAAGTACAGAGGTATATAAATAATGATTTAATACGCAAATATAAATATTTAGTAAGAAAATTTTTGTGTTTCTGGAAGATGTCCATCTCGACACAAAATTCCTCGATCGCGCTCCGATCGAACATTTTAAATAATTAGAGCTATATTTGCAAATTCTAAATAGAGAGTAGCGTAATTTTATAAAAAAAAAAGGAGATAAGCCAAGGAAGGCTAAAGTTACGAACTTAATTCTAATGGGTCTTTCTAAGATAAAAGGAGGAGAGAAACAAAAAAGGAGATATCCGGACGGTTTGTCCCGGTGAGATAAGCGCGTTACGTCGCTCTAATCAATGTATCGGACACTTTACGCGATTAATCGCGGGGCATCACTGACAATCTGCCGGGCTACATTATAATCGTAAGTCTCGATAATGGCAATTGTATTTGACTTGCGTTTGGGAAAGATGATAATAAATATTTGATTGAAAAAAAAAATATATAAGGAGAAGAAATATCTTCCAGCTGCCGCCGAATCTGATCTTCCCGCGAGAATGTGGAGTCTAGAATGTAGAATCGTGAGAACGGCGCTCAATCACAGGGGGAGATTGAATTAAATTGAACACCACAATTATAAAAGTAAAAACGTGAGAATTTTAGTGTATTACATTACTTACAGAAGGAAATCTTAACATAATTTCCTACGTAATTTCCTACGTCTTCCTTATTTGCTGCATTATAATTTATGCGAGGCTAATCCGTAATATAAAATTTTTCTTTTTTAACTTTCTCCAGAATTATCGGAAGAATATGTAACTTCATCCAGCTAAAACTCGGTATTGCAAAGTCGGCTCTGATGTGCTTTGTAAAATATGTACAGTTTTTCTCAGGTATTTTATCAAAATACAATAAAGTTACATTTACAGATATGACTGGAAATTGTACAAATAGCTCTCGAAGTATACATATAAATATTACACTAGTGGTATACATCAATATGTATGCTCTCTGGTGCTTTGGCAGAAACATAATTCATTAGCACCACACGAATGCAGTTTCGTTTTGAGACGATCAACGCGAATTTCCCTGTCTTCCTGTCTTTTGTACTCTATACACCGATTCGATCGCGATTGTACAACTCTCAAAACTCGACTGATTCCGTGAACGAATGGAAATTTCTCCATCTTGCAATTCCAGCTATATTGAAAAATTTCGCTAAAGACTAATAAATAAGAAACGCGTTTCGTCCTTCTGAGTTTTTCTCTTTTTCAAGAAGACGGGATCGGCGGAGTCAGTCCAGCCGCTTTGCGGGACGGTATGCGGCGATCTGTACACTACACGTGATATTTTACACATGGCAAAATCTAGCTAAGCTCGGAGAGTACTGACGTTCATACAATTTGTACACACATGATGACCATTTCGAATCTCTCCGAACGTTCTTTTTTTTTTCCCTTATCTTACACGAGGTTGTTACCGTTCTCCACATTACCCTCGTAGAAGGACTCGCATTTCTCGAGTAAACGATGAACCGGACTAATGTTGTACGGGAACAGGTTCTTGGACACCAGCCGATCGATGGCCAACCGTAGTCTTATCAGTACCGTCATAGTGTCGTCCAACTCGCGGCCGCAACACCTAACGAACTCGAGCCAGTTACGCCTAATGTATTTGAGGAATCGCAGGAGATACAGCAGGAAGCAGGTCTCGTTGCTGACCAACAGATCCAGCAGAACATCCGGATCATGCGACACGGCGCGGATGAATTGCACAAAGGTCAATGTCGGGCTGAGCATCTGGCCCAGATCGTTCTGGGGCGGGCCGCGATAGAATAAGCCCACGGCGACGTCCAGACAGCAGACCATACCCTCGATCAAGAAGTCGTCCTGGTCGTGGAACATCTGCACGACCCATTGCGACAGCGGCATCTCCGGATGGAAGGGCATCAATGCTTTCACGCACTGATCCAGCTGACGTAGTACCTCGCGGATGCTCCTCTCGATCACCGCCATGTCCTCGTCGAGATCCTCGGCCTCGGAGCCGAGCGACGAGTCGCTGGAGTCGCTGCGCGTCTCCCGCACTGTCACGGCGACGCTCTTGAGCACTAGCAGCACCATCTTCTGCAGCAGAGGACGATCGCCCTCGCCGGTGCCGCCGCCGAACCTACCGGAACCGTGACGGTAGGGCAACGCGTCGAGCAGACGCCAGTCCTTGACGGCGCGGACGATGAGGTGCGCCAGGGAGCACGGTTCGTCCGGTAGGACATCCTGCAGCGCCAGGGTGCTGCCGTAGCACAGTACTTCGTTGAAGAGTCCGAGCAAGTGTCGCCAGATCACGCCCGGCACATTGGCGTTCAGCAACAGGACGAGATTGTTGAGCTGCGAGTAGAAAGGTTTGGTGTCGATGACGGAAAGATTGGCTTTCACCGAGATGACGGTTTCCCACAGGTGCAGGAACGTGATGACCACGGACGCGTGCTGCGGCGTGTACGCCGTGAGAATGTCATTGAACTTGGACACGAGAATTGTCCACTTGGACTCGAGCGCCTTCACGCACATCGCCTTGACCGTCGTGCTGTCGAAGTCGGTGATGACGAGGGTGTTGCAGCCCGGCGGCGGCACAGACGTCTCGCCCTCCTCCAACGGGTGTATACTACAGTCTTTATGCTCGACCACTCGCTTGACCACGTCCAGGGTGAACAACATCTGGCTGGGCGAGTGACTGTTGACCAGGGATTGCGTGAGCCTCTCCAGCCAGGCGGCCTCCACGTTGTCCCGCGCGACGATGAAGAACGACGCGAGCACGCGACTCGCCGCGTACGACACGAACTTGTTGGTCGTGTAGGACAGGTCGATGATCTGATCGACGATGCCGTGCTCGTTCCGCGCCACCGCCTCGCACACGTCCGCCACCCGCTTGCACATGACATTCTTCGCGTTCTGCCTGATGGCCAGGTCGAACAGCAGCTGCAGGGCGCTCAGATACTCCAGAATCTGATCCGTGTCCCAGTCGGACAGCACGGCGTAACGGATGCTACCGTCGGTCTCCTCGACCGTGAAGTTGGTGAACGGCTTGCGCAGACTGCTCTCCGGCATATGGCACAGACATCGCGCGAGGAGGTTCCTCTGCAACTCCTCGACGTCGGCGAGCCCGTTCTTGGCCCCCGCGCTAATCTCGATACGCTGCTTCTTCTTAACCGGCTCCTCCATTACGTTGACGGGAGGACAACAACGATAGATGCACCATTAACGTCAAGTCGACCATTAACTCGTCGAGTTAGCTCTCTCGTGTAGGTGACGCCGAGAGGGAGGAGCATCCGAGTACCCACGAGTCACTTGCATTTTCTGCGTCAGCCCATTGCAGTCAGCGGATGAGGTCCATCGGGAATACCTATTGTGAGAAGTCATACAAACGTTTGCGTTGAGAATTGTAAACAAGAAAAAGATGAAATGAGGTCTGTCTTTTATTACTCCATTTATTGCTGCTCCGCTGAGCTGCACTAGAACTTCCCTTCTCCCTTTCGCCAAATTGCAAACATATACCTAATTCACTTTAACTACAGAGAGCGTACGCTAATTCAGCAATAAAAAACAGACCTATCATTAAGACTTGTACTCCGAGTTTTTATATCAAACCTAGATACATCGTGTAACAAAATTCAACGTTCGCTATTAAATATTTAAGCAATTCACCACTGATGGAAGACTTGGTACAGTCAAAACGTTCAGTTATTGTACGTCTCTTAATTTTCTTCTTTTTTATTTAACAAGTAGCTTTTTAATACCCAAGTTCACTTCTTGCTCGTCCTTCGGCCGATGATTACTTTACAGTTTAGCTTGTATAGCAAACGGATCAACCTTACATAATTTTAATTAAGACTCGTTACCCGCACGTACAGCGTTACCGAGCGACAGCACGCTTCGTCTCCTTTGAATAATTTTTTTTTATATTTTTATACCACTATCCTATTTTATTTATCGCGGCGCGAGCCCAGAAAAGTATATTCGCGCCTTCGCGCGAGCGTCAGGTCTCCCCGGATGGCCAGAAGCGGACGGCAGAAGCGCGGTAGACGATGTCTGGTGTGTAACACCAGAAGCCAGTAGGCAACGGGCAAACTTACACCATTAAATTCCCACCGCGCTATCCTCGCCGCGGGACGACGGAGGCTGCACACCCCTGGCTCCTGGACGACGTCGCGTGCGCAGCTGGGCTATCCTCCGGCGACGCGCTCGACCGCGCTGGATTCCGCGCGAGTTCGTGGATCGGCGCGACGCGCCTCGTTCCAGGACGGGGGAGGGCCGCCTTCAATGGCAGCTCTCGCGCGCGCAGAGGGACGAGCGTGGAGCTCACCCAACACCGGGGTGTGAGCCGACGCCGAGTGTGTCTGTCGCTGTCCCGGCGGTGCAACGTGCTCCGGGCACCTCCGATCGTCCGAGGGACTTCCGCGGCGTCGCTTCGCGTCCCGTCCCCGTTCCTCGTCCCTGGTCCCCGTCGCGCGTCGCGTTGAATACGGGCGACGTTCCCCGTTCGCACGGCGCACGGCCACGCGCGAACGTTAGGTGGAGGGGGTGGGGAGGGGGAAGGGAGGAGGAGGAGGGGGCCACACGCGGCGAAACGTTTCCCCGCACGATTCTTCGGTGTCAGCCGCGCCGAATCTCGGGGATCCCTCTCTCGGGGATGATCCCTCGCGAACTAGGAAGCGACACCCACGGGGAGGAGCACACGCAGCGCTCGCACGGCAGCGGTCGCGCACTCGCTCTGTTGCCACGTATACGACGTGCTACCGACGGCGACGGCGGCGGCGAAAAATGACACGGGGGCACGACGCGCGATCGACGTACAACAACGGCGACGGCCGGCAGGTGCAGCAGCACGGCGATGATCGTCGGCAGGGGCGCGTAACACCGTGCCCGGTGTCGGGCGGCGATACCTCGAGGCCGCGGCCGCCGCGTCGTATTCCGCACGTATTCCGGTCCGTTGGCGTGCCACTACGGCCGGGCATCGTGCGGAGCCGCGCACAGGACATATATAATGGAGCCGCGTAACACGGTAGCCGTCCGTCGCGCATTCCATAACGTTACTGAGGGGGTACGCGGTGGAGAGCCGCGCGGCCAATCGTGCGCGGACGCGCACGCCGTCGTGCGTGATGATCCGCGGGCGCGTAATGCGTCGTTTATCGCGGATAAAAGTCGCCCGTAACGAAATGCCGTGCGATAAATAAGCGCGCGATCATCGGCAACTCAGCATCGATCGGGGCGCCCCCGCGCGGCCGCGCGTCGCCAGCGCCGTGGCGGGCGATTCGAATCGCTCGCCGCCTGCGGGGCCCTGTGCAGTCGCATTTTCCCGAAATTTATAAAAAAAAAGAAAATACACGGAGGCCGGTATTCAAGTCGGTTCTTGTATTTAAGACTATGGGCCAAAGCACATATGACAGTCGTAGTCGTGGACGTAAGTAACGCACAAGCTTTGGCGTATCTTGATTTGTCAGGTCGAGGACTACGACCGTCGTATATCGCTACGCCATGTTATGTGCTTTGGCCCTATCTTAAGTACTATCTTAAGATGTCATTAACCAATCAGAGCCGTATTAGCATCTTAAGATATTACTTAAGACGGTCTTGAAATAAGATCTGATTATGGATACCGGCCGGAGAGAATTTTTTATTATATTTTTATCCTTAAATTCATTACAAACTTGGGACAACTTGGCAACCAAGGAATTTCTAAAATATACAAAAGACATTTTACAAACGTGATAAAAATTACCAAGCAGATTGGTAAATTTTGAAAAATTATTGAAATTTCCTAGATATATTTTAGTAAAATTAATTAAACATTTTATATTATTAATACTTCTTTATTATGGTAAATATTAATCAAAATAGCTCGCATAAAATTCTTGGTGGTACATGTCCCACAACTACCATGATTTCAGGGTAAATTCTAAGAGAAAATTCTCTCCGTATATAAAAAGTTTTGCGTTGAACTTGACGTTTCGCGCGATTGCACGATGATTCGTCACCAACTTCACGCGGAATTGAAAGGCGCGGAATAAAATGTTCCGCTTGAAGTTGCACACGATTATATGTCTTCGCTGTCGAATATCCGGATTACATTATCGATTATTACATTATCGATTCGTTGCAGCATATTTAATTAGCAGTGCGGCAAGTTCTGTCAATTAAAAAGAATTGCACGGTAATTAAACTGTTAATCAAAGATGAGAGGGACGCAAAAGGAAAGAAATTCAATTCGCGCGGAGGAATTTGGCGAAATGTGAACCCGACCGAAGTGAGCTCGCAAATTCAAATATTTATAAATCTGGCGACCAACTTTCGGATATTATAAAGCAGACATGATTTCGAAGCGATAATCGCCGGATTCCTCCAAACGGCGCGAAGTTTGAACACGACGGATGTTCATGAATGCGAGAACTTGCGTTCTAGAGTCTAAACGCGCGCGCATCCCGGAAGCGGGGGCGATTCTTCTCGTTCCCCTTCTCTTTCTCCTCTTCTCTCTCTCACTTTACCAAGCTTATATATATACGCGGCGACCGTCGAGCGGAGTAGCGGAGAAGCGGAGTCGGAGTCGGAGCAGTCGGGAAAATGGCGTCGTCGAAAAGCCAACGGTGGATGGTAGACTCGGGGATTCTGCGTAAAAAGAATAGCGACGAGGAACCGCAGGAGCTGTTGGTGTTCGGATATAGCTGCAAATTATTTCGCGATGATGACAAGGCGAAAATGATTGATCAGGGAAAGCATTTGATACCATGGATGGGCGATAACACGTTGAGGATAGACAGGTCCGTTTCTCTAACCTAGACAAATTTCTCATCTAGGATATTTGTTCTCATGCATAATGACCACGCACCGTTTTTACGTTTCCCCGACTATGAAAAACGTAAAGTACGACTGACCTCGACCGCAAACAAACAAACAAACAAACAAAATATAAGACCACAAAATTCGAAAACCGAATTTTAAAAAAATCAAAACCAAATACTGCATTTAGAAGCGAAAAACAAGCGGGGTCCCCCCCTTCTCATCGTTAATCTCTGGATAAGCAAACTGGAGACTGTTTAAGGCTTCCGCAGGTGTTCTATCTCTCTCTCTCTCGGCTGTGAAACGCGCAGTGTGTGGCAGCGCGATTTACGCGCTCTGCACGCGGGTGCTCCGGTGAGACGTGACGCTTGTGGCTGGCCGTCTGTGCAGCAGCAAGGTGAGACACGGCGTTGAGAGACAAACGGGCAAGGCTGACGGTTGTAGGTAATTTATACGACCGCTCAGCACGGTATGTATTTGGCACATTAGACTCGGCTTTGCCTCGGGGCAACGCGCAGGGCGTTGTTACTTTTACTCGCAAGCTTATATAGTTGTATGGACTTTCATGCTCTTCTCCACGTGCACATGTATGTTCAAATTAATCCGCATCGACGATATACAACGTATACAACGTGTAAATGTAACAAGACAAAATATGTATCTGTAAATTTTTAAATAAACGTAATCGAATGTAATGCTGTAATTTAGAAATTAACGGTAACGAGATAATTGTTACTTAAAATGGTTATATATATATATATGTAAAATACTTGTCGATGTTATCGCGGTATGTTGATATTTTGATGAAAAAGCAAGAACAGGTAGAAACGTTACTCGAGGCATCCTCTATTTAGCTCTGTTCTATTTCAGAAAAATCGCTCTGTGTGGTGGGACTTACTTCTTGATTTAATATTTCCAGATGCCGTGGCCAACTTGTACATCAAAACACTTAAAACGATATCGTCTTCCTTCTCTAACGGTTGTATTGTATGTGTATAGATACGATGGACGAGGGGCTCTGGCTGACTTACGGATTCACGAGCCACCATCGGGTGGTTTCGATCAGCGGACGATACTTACCGAGGAAGAACTGAAAGTAGAGCAACTCTGTGACGAGGAGCGGTATCGGTCCCTTTACAACAACGACGCGGAGGAGTCCATGAATCATGGTAACGTATCCTCTTTCCCGAAAACGTTTTGATTGTACTTTTCGTACACACTACCAGAGTTTAATCGCGAATTCGCATTGCAGAAGAGGAGATAAAGAGGTTGCATCAAGCACTGGACTCCGAATCTTCGTACAATCAAGTGGGATATAATTACAACGAAGATGAAAATGGTCATAAAGCTTCCGGCGAAGAGTCTCAGAGTCCGAAACAATCGGAGGGCTCTCAAGAGGAAGATCAGGCATTCGTGGCACCTCCCGAACTGGAACCATTTCCCGAGGGAATGGTCCTGGTAAGATGTCGTTTTGTATTTGTTTTATTGTATTCGTAGATATTAGATAATATGATTACATAACGTCAATTTTTCGAATGTTTAGCCGGAAACGCAGAAACTGAATGCCATTATAATGAAAACGGCGCTGTTTATAAGTCAACACGGAAGCCAGTTGGAAATCTTGATAAAGACGAAACAGGCAAACAATCCGCAGTTTGCGTTCCTATCGATAGACGAGCCGCTCCATCAGTATTACAAATATGTCCTCGATGCTATCAAGAGTGGAAAATATAACCCCGAAAAGCAACCTGAGAAAGAAGAATCCGGTATGCATATCATTTTCTATAACAAGCGATGCCTTATAGTAATTATATTGAAGTTGAGTTGAAGTAATTGAAGCGACATAAAGCAGGATTTGATTACCCACACCTACTTTGATTCTACTTAGTTTTTCTTGCCGTAAGTATTGCCATAAATTTTTGTTAATACTCTAATTGGTAACCTATGCATAAATCTACCTTAATGATCTTGAGATGTGTGCGTGATGTCTCATCGTTATCCTTTTTTTTTTCAATGCTAGAACCTGAGGAAGAGTCTGACCAAGATGACGAACCGTACCTGCATCCAAGTCTCGCGTCGTCGCTTACCAAGATCGAAGCGGTACGTTTCACACGGTACATTTTGTCACTTTGCACGCTGTACATTAATCTGTTCTTAAAAATGCATAAGCGGTCCCTGCGCTCTCGTGCAGAAGAATTTTGCATTCGGGGTAATTCGAAATATGAAGATCCCTAGCTGGACCACACTGAATTATTTTTAAGAATGGCGATCTCGATATTCACACGGATCACAATAGGATGAAACGTTAATATTACTCTGCAACACTAATTTATGTGTCAAATATTTCTGCTTCCAGGGCTGATTCTGGTACGCATTGGACCTATTCTCATATATTTTTATTTATTCATTTATTGCACCATTTAAAACTCTTTTTAATTCCTTCCGCGTGCGTGCAATATTCCAAAAAATTTATTAAACGCATTATTTATTTATCACTTTGTTATTAATAGTGAAATGATGAAGTGAATAGAATCAAATATAATTAAATTTTTAAGTTATAATACAATTATTAAATTCATGATTTTTTTTATATCTAAATATTTACAATCACAATTTATCATATATTTTTAAAAAATGTGTTTTTTAAAATATTTTTTTGATATCTTTTTAAATTACTCTTCTAAAGTTTGCGTTTGTAGATATAACGTAGCTATAATAGCATCCCGGATATATTATATTTCCAGTTTTACTTTAATGGTTGGGATACCGTAGAGGATATTTAATTTAAAATAAGCTAAATGCAGAACTATAAGAAAATTCTTTCCGTTTATAGGCACCTAGTATACCAAGTATACAATATAAGCCGTCGGCGGATTGCGCGTACTCCATGCTCGTGAACAAGATCACAGGGAAACCACCACCGTCCAAGGTACCGCAAGCGTTAGACCCGACGATCCAGGCAATGCCGTCCGCTGGATACTATCACCCAGTGCCACCACAGGTATAATTCTAGTATCATGTTAATAGCAGGATACACATTGAAGAACATTTTAATATTATTTTCATAAAGTGGGGTTTATTTATTTCGTTTTATTACTTTTGACTTGTATTTATAACGACTTATTTTACTTCTGGTATTGATACCTTTATCCTCTGTAACATCAGTATTATTCGATAACCGCCTATAGACTTAACATCTGTTTTAAACTTTGGCACGTAATTTGACAATTTTGTATTCTTCTGTGACAAATTATATCATTCGTATTCCATGTTTTTAAACTTTCGCGCTCCTATAACTAAATGGTGAGTTCATTTACTTATATCCGTATCTTTATCTCCTTGTTGATTATCACATTATAGATAGGGATTATTTAGTCAACTAACTACCAACATGCAACGTAACGTTCCAATTTCAAAGCAACTTATTGATCAAACTATTGATCAAATGGGAGAACGCTAAAAAATTCATATTTACGTAACTGTATTTTTTAATGTTTTGACTACGCTGAAAATGGTTCAAAACAGAGCCGAAACGTCCCTCATTAACTTGGTAAATTATTAAATAAAGCCCACGTTCAGCAGAACGTTTATTTTGCACTCTCAATTACCTAAATTGCAACCCCACTTTATTGATTTTATTACCGAGAGTCCTAGATTTATTATTTGTATTGTTCTTCATTACATTACAATGTATTTTTTCAGAGTTATCCTCCTTATCCTACGCCCATGCAGTACTCACATGGTCCAGTTATATACGGGTCAAATGGACAAATGCAATCCCCCTCGCAACTCGTCATGCCAACCATGCTAAACGATACGGCCACGACACAAACCGTATCGTCCAAGGAGACACCTACGCCGTTGGTACCGTACGGGATACCTGCCCAAAAACCATTGAGCAGGCCATCTTTTATCGTGCCACCAGCGGAAGTTCAGGTCATCATCGACAAGATGGCAAGTTACGTGGCGAAGAATGGACGCGATTTTGAGACAATTGTCAAGAACAAGGGGGATTCTAGATTCAATTTCTTGGAGTTGTCGCATCAGTACCATGGTTACTACGCGCACAAGCTGACGGTGTACGAGGGTGCGATAAATCCGAAGGTGTTGACAGAAGAACAGTTATTGCAGAAGCAGGAACCGCAGGAAGAGAAGCAGAAAAAACTGGAGGAACTGCAGAAGAAGCAACAACGAATGGAGGAGGTGCAGAAGCGAGTGAGAATGATACAGGCGAAGAAGAAGAACGGCGGCGACACGAAGGTGAAGCAGAGCACGGGATCGGCGAAACAGATCACCACTGTATCATTCTCCATCAAAAAACCAAAAGATGGAGAGAGCCCAGTAATCGAGAAGAGGAATGCTTTACCGTTGGAAGAGAGCGACGAAGAGATGGAGAGTGACAAAAAGGATGCTAATTCCAAGCCCGGTTCGCCCGAAGATAGCACAGCCGATCCGAATTTCTCGATTGCCATTGGGGACAAAGACCCACCGAAATCGGAGAAGAAACCGAAGAGCGATGACAAAGAGTTGGTGGATTTGACGGACGATATACTCGAGGATTGTCAAAAAGAGATCAGGCATAAACAGGCGCAGGAGGACAGGATCAAGGATAAGCTGGCAGCGGCCGCGCGGGATAAATTACTTTCCAGGGAACGACAGTTGCAGCTCGAGAGAAAAAAGAGAGCTGCTATATTTCTCAGCCATATCCAAACGCCAGCACTCAAGACCGGTTCTACCACGGTGAATCCAAATTCCCGAAAGGACGATTCGGACGAGATACACTCGCTGCCGTCGCCGTCCCTCGAGGATAATAAAGACAAATCTTCGCAAGATACGAAGATGTGCGGTAATTCTCTGATGGATCGATTGAAAGGCGCGGACCTGAGCGGCAAGAGATCGCGACAACGTTCCAGAAGTCGGAGCGGAAGTCGCACGGACAGGCACAAACTGCACAAAAAGCACAAGAAAAAGAAAAGTTCTCATCGAAGGTAATTGAAGTTATTTTATTGTAAAATTGGGTGCAGTAAAAATAACAGCATAAAGTTCAAAATTTTAATTTTTATTCAGAGGATGTGTACCCATTGTAATTACGTTACATTATTTGCTTATAGCTAAATTTTATCTTCAACTTGCATTCTGTTAAAATAATTTATTGCTAAGTTTGTAGTTACACTTATAGTTACGTTTTTAAAATATTATCTTTTAAATTGTTATTTATTTCTTGAATTATGACCTAAAATTTCGTTAAAAGTATTTCGTCTGTTTAAACGTGAACTGCACATGTATGTTTCAGTAATTACGACAGCTCGAGTTCCTCCCGCTCGCACAGATCCAAGAAGAGCAAGAAATCATCCTCGCGGCACAGATCCCGTTCGCGCAGTCCCTCGCACAGACACCGACACAATTCACGACGGCGGGAAAGCAATACGAGCCACTCGGACTCCAGCTCGCCTTGATGTCTCCTCGCTTTATTTAAATAAGATTACATCAAGAAATGTTGTATATATACACACATGCTATTACAGATAACGTATATTATAATCGCGTATTGTGACAAATTTGATACACCTTTTGTCATCAAGAAACATGAAGAATTTACTCTTTAATTTTTCAATGTTTGTGTGTTTGTAGTCTACCTCTTGCGCCTTTTACACGTGTATCTCACTGTTTTCCATTACGCATTCTTCCGATATCATTTTTTGAAATCGCTTACTTATCTGTGAGCTCAACTATTTACCGAATTTCTGTCCCCGAATTTCTTCCAACTATTCAAATGTATATAAAAGGAAAAGTTTGGATGGATAAGATGTCCGATAAAAAATTGAGCTTTATATGTATTCAATGTTTTATATTATACATATTTATATTGTACAAAAATTCCTTTTTTTCCAAAATCAATTTTTAACACTATGTGAAATAGGTTGCACATGAAAAATACTATTATTTCAAGACAAATATGTTTAAAAAAAAAACAAAGTTGTGAATGTTATGATGATTTGCAAAAATTGCGATAATATAATACGAATCTGTGGTGAAAAAATTTCTTGATCGTGTGAGGCTGACGACATTTTGCAATATCAAAGGTTATCGAATTGGATATTTCCACGCACCGAGCACGTTGCAAATACTATTTCTCGAATGGTGGAATGCTAACGCTATCGTTTTTTTTTCGTCATCGCGTCATTTTGCATTTTCACGCGGCGGCCAAATCCTTAACCGATTCGAATGCAACACGCGCAACCCATAAACGCGCGGCAATTGAATCCATTTGCCGCGGAATGGTAACAATTATATTATACATTTGACATCATTCGCACGTTGGTTGCGCCGCGTGTCAACCGATCATCACGGCAAGCCAATCCGGTTTAACGCGGTTTAACGAACTATTTATAATGTGCGTCAGTGTTACACATGGCCGATTTATCAGTGGACAATTTAGAAATTTATTTTTAGGTGTGCTATTATTGGCGTCTATTTGTTTCATTGTTTTATTTTGTTCTGCGATCTTTAAAAAAAGAAAAGAGAGCTAAGTCGTTCAGTTTTCTTCAAAAGCTATTAAAAATTATCAGCGCTTTCTTTACTTATCATTTACTTTGCTTGCTTTTTAGAATATCGTTATTGTAATAAATTATTATATTATATTATTTCTCTCTCGTTATTGTGAAATTCGCCGCTTTTCGCAATCGCCGAGCGTATCTGTCGCACAGACGCGAATATGAACAAGACATTCATTGAAAACAAATCGCTAAAATAAAGAAATCTCAATCGTAAATTTTTTTTCAAAGCGCTCGTAGAGCGGCGCCATGATTTCTTTCGTTGCACAAAGACCGTCATTCACGTCTGACGATAAAGTGATATCTTTCAACATCGGTTTCGGTCCAATTTCTACATTATCGCGATAATTGCCACATTTTGTTTTTAATGCATTTACTTTTCTAAGAAAGCTCTTGAATTGATTGCACTCTGGAAATTTTGCCAGAATCTGTGAAAGCGCTCTTTAACAATTTTTATCGCGTGACATCAAACGCAGGTCGCACCGAACCAATTTAAACGCGCAACGTTGTAAATTGCGGTATCGGATAAAAATTGATAGTAATCCATTCCGTTTGCGATACTCGTGTTTACAATAGTCCGGAATTGTGGAATAGGGAGAGGGGAGGGTGAGATAGGCAGCGGTGATGTGATTCGACACCATTGTGCTTGTGTGACCGTGGCACTACCCACTACGAGACAGACCACCACCACTACCATCACCACCACCACCATCAGGCGATGCGGAGATCAAGGGTGAATTGTCTTCGACTTTATAAGTTAACACGGAGTCCTATGCAGGGTAAGACAGACGACAGTTGCATTTTCGCCAGTGAACGGTAAACAGCTACGGAATGTCCGCCACGACAGTTGTAAGTATATATTCCGACTTTTTTTCTGAGAAAATTTCGGAGAACTCAAGATTTAATAATATAACGCGAGTAAAATTACTTTGCGAAAGATCTTAGCAATTATTTCATAAGTTTTATTCTTCGTTACATTTGCTTATACACAGTCGACTAAATTATTATCTTATTTCTAAACATTTATAAATTTAACAATTTTATTGTGTCACTCTGTATTGCTTTTTCATGTAAATTCAAATTAAAAAATTGTCGTGCAGACGCGAAATTTCTTCTCTTTCAGACAGGATATGTTTAAAAAGAGAGACCGATAATGCACTATTGCACAATACATATTAGTTAATCACAATTTGATCGCGTCACAAATCTCATGTAAAATTTCCACAAATATGTAGTCCGTTGTATATGTAGATAGATAAGCATTGACGCACAGTGAAGACAGATATTTTCATATCAATGGATTCTTTTTCACAATCTCTCACGGTACACCTCGTAATCACAAAAAAAAAACATTATGAATTCGGATATCCTACGAATACTGAGTGTTGTTGAAACAGATCGTTATTAACCTTTTGGAGCGCATTCTACATTTTTAGGGATAAAAAAGGTCGTATAAATTTAGATCTGAAAAATCTTTTTTTTCAAGTAATTTATTTTTGTACAGAGTAAAACGATACAAAGAAAACGCAGTATTTCAATTAATCTCAGAAAAGTGCCGATTTCTTGTCCCGCCTCATATATTTGTGCAGTAAAAAGCATCGAATGTTGCAACGTAATTTTTAAAATTCTTTTAATTTTTACAATTTTTATAATTTTTATTACACACACAGATACGTATAATAAATGAGAACCATTACATGATCATAAGGCAAAAAATATATTGCGAAGGATATTCAATGAAGGATGTACTATTTATTTCATTCTTTACTTGAAGGTATATAGAAACTTTTACATAACGTTTTTGTAACTATTGATCTAACTGGGTCATTAATCTAACATCTAACTAAATCCATAGATTTCTTCATGCGAATAGGAAAAGCACTTCATTAACATGAATTTTTATCAATGTTCGTTCCGTTTCATTCGTAAGTATAATAAAGTATATTCAATAGCGCAAAACTAGGTGACTTATATTTTTTTGTAACACATTTTTTCGACTCTATATATTTTTACATACAAATACATCTGTTTATTAATATGGTAACGGAAGGTATAACTTAAAAATCAAAAGCAGGAATACTTAAAAATCTAATTTTTTAAGTATAACTGTGAAATATGGAGTATACAATTTTATAAATATATAATTGTAAAGTAGATCATATATATACATATAAAATAATAAAGACGTGTCTTAAGAATTTCTTGGTGTTGCAATTTCAATAAAAAAAAAAAATCACACAAAATACGTGATAATTTTTTAAACGCAATAATTCTTTAAACGATAATTTTTCAATAGGAAGTAATCAAAAGCAAGATTTCTTTATGGATTCTTAAACATTTAATTTCTTACAGCAACAAAGCCGTGGCCATGTTGCGCTGCTGGACCCATCGGAGCAGCTTCGACCTGAGCCAATATACGCCGGGAAGCTGAAAAGTCAATTCCGCAATTTCGATGAAGATTCCGACGATCCCATCAAAGAACGTATCCGCAAAACCTACTTAAATATGCACACCAATCAAACCGTTGACTTCGTCAAATGTTAGTCAAAACAAAAAATTATATATAATTATATTTGGCGATAAATAGATATAGAACTAGTTAGAATAGTTAAAAAGATAATTTACATCAACAAGTGAGAGTTCATCTCCACATAATTTAAACAATTGACAATGAATTTGTATAATCTCATTTATTTGCATTGCTCCGGATATAATTAGAAAGATAAGGATAAGGTAAGAGATTAGAGTGAAGGAATCACTTTTCTTCCGACAGCTCGCATGAAATATTGGCTTCGGTTTGATAAAGCCAAAATGACGGCGAAAGAAGCCTTGATCAAACTGAACGATCTCGTGGACGAGAGTGATCCGGACACGAACTTGCCTAATATTATTCACGCGTTCCAAACTGCGGAATCCATCAGAGAGGAACATCCGGACCTAGACTGGTTCCATCTTACCGGCTTAATTCACGATCTCGGCAAGGTAAGACGAAATATAAAGCTCCAAGAGAATACATATCGAATAGATATAAATATAAAACTGTGAGAATACACGGAGAATACATACGATAAATGATTTATTTTAATAACTTATTCGGGTACGCTTCAAAAAGGCAGAAGGTCCAAAAAAATTTTGTCTTTTGAAATAATGTAAAGTAAAAAATTCTATTCTTTCTAAATAATTTGTGAATTGAATACTATAATATTTTTATCCTCTTGAAAACAATCCATTGTTTTCCTAATTTCTAAGACTCTCGTTTTCTCTTGTATTACCCTCCCAACTCTTTGAGCACAATATGCTTCAGACAGCTGAATGCTATTTTCAACAATATTAATGTTATTCTTGAATATCAGTGCGGATTAGTAGCATGCACGACAGAACTTCAACCTATGTTCGACTCTGTATTTAAGAGAGTTAGTTTTCTAAATCCCTGACCTAGGGGATCTAGCTCGCTATTGTTCTTGACTTTAAAACAGCATTTCACACGGTCAATCTTTTCCTAGCCAAACCGTGGTATGTTCCGCTGAGCTTTCCCTACCTGCCTCCTTTATTACATTTTTTCTTTAAAAAATCCCAACGAATTTTATACAATATTTTTTGCATCTTTTCCTTTTTTTGTAATACCCATCTAGTGTACACATCTTAAAAATCCTCGATTCTATTTTCGGTTTATTATTGTTTAACGTCTTTGTAGCAGACTCGGTTACTGTTTCGCAGTATATTTCCAAACTTGTTCTTTCATTTCTTTTTACGATTTTATGGCTACCCCATTTGTTAGGTTCAGATGTACGTTAACAACAAATATATTATTATAATCAAGTAACAAATAATTGTACATTGCAGGTGATGGCATTTTACGGAGAACCCCAGTGGGCGGTGGTGGGTGACACATTCCCCGTCGGTTGTGCCTGGGGCGATTCCATCGTTCACAGAGCGACGAGCTTTGACAATAATCCCGATGGCAAAGACCCTCGTTACAAGTACGTCCCAGTTTTCTTAGTTTTTCTTTTTGATAACGGAAATTTCTGTTATTAAAAGATATTATAAAAAGATCTAATATAAAAAAGGTATTATTTTTTCAAAGTTCGTGACTCGTGATGTGTATTTAATTATGTGAGTAAGGAAAATACATTTATATTTTAAGAAAAATTCGAATGCAGAGCTGATCGTAGAATTTATAGTCTTTTAGAGCGGCGAAGAGAGTGCGGAGATAATCTGAATGTGTCATAACTAAACAATTGTACTTAGATTATTGCACCTACATAGGAGGATATTTTTGTTGCAGTACAAAATACGGCATGTACAAACCTCAGTGCGGAATAACCAATCTGATGATGTCATGGGGCCATGACGAATACATGTACCGTTTACTCATACACAACAAGAGCAAATTGCCGAAGGAGGCTCTGGCTATGATTCGTTACCATTCCTTTTACCCCTGGCACGCCAGCGGCGACTACATGCACTTTTGCACCCAGGAAGATATAGACATGTTGAAATGGATCAGAGAATTTAAGTAAGTTAAATATAAATAATTTAGATTGCAATAGAATATGAGAGAGAGAGAGAAAAAATTGCTAGCTCCACATTAAACTCGTTATATATTAAATTATCACAAATTATATAACACTTACCTAATTTATAATCAAATTTGAATATAAATTGTATCATATTGTAAAGCTTAAAAAGCTACATCGATGATTAATTCGATGCAAAAATTTTTACAGCAAATTCGATCTTTATACTAAGAGCGGCGCCGTTCCGGACGTCGAGAAACTGTGGCCCTACTACGAGAAATTGATCGACAAATACATCCCCGGCTTATTGGAGTGGTGATCCTCGTTTCTATTACGCGTATTCGTAATTCATATGATATTTTAAATGACGATTGTTATATGTAAACAATATGCGAGCTATTTTACCGCTGGACACGTAACAATTTTATAATTTTAATGGGATTTTAATATACTAATATTATCTCAGTAAAGTATGTAATATATACTACATACTGCGTGAGAAAGGAACAACTAAAAATATAATCTAAGCAATGTTAAATATAAGTAAATAAGTAAAATGTTACATATAAGCGATTATAAGCGATTATGAACAAAATAAAATTCAATGATTGTGCCTATCCGGGACCTGCTGAATCTTTTGATCAATATAATTCGCGAGAGACTTTAAAAGAGAATCTGACATATCCTTCACGAGCTAACGCTGGTTGTCCAGCTGGTTGGCCCGTAATAGCCGACCAACGCATTGTTCCGCGATTCCCGCGTGCGGTTCGCGGAGCGGCCGTGCTCACGCGGGTTCCGAAAATTCGCACGCGCGGCTTTTCAAGCGCATGAAATTGATTAGGCTTACGCGCTGCCCGGCGCGATGATAAAGTTCACGATTGTCCCGATTAGATGAGTAATCCGTCCGTTAAACGGACGCGCGCGAAGGGGAGCTTGACTCACACGGGCCGGCCGATACTTCGAACGAAGAATTCGTCCTCCAGGAACTGATTCGCTCATTTTCATCTCGTTCGTAAGGCACGTAAGGTCACGCGCTGAAAATCATAATCCTCCGTAGTAATGCAAGATTATCCCAAGAATATACTTAATTCCACCTAAGCATAAAAATTATTTTGTTATAATTCATGTATTAGAAAAAATAATAATCATTAATGTGTCAATAATGATCATAGGCAGGCCATTTGTTACAAAAAAAGCAAGAGCGTTTAGCGAGAGCAGGGTGATACATTTTGTTAAGAAATCAAAATGTGTTTTATAAGTTTCAAAATAATTTTTATAAATGTATTTTATCGGTTTATCTCGTCCGCGATACACATAATATACATATGTACCGCGTATTAATGTAAATGGATAAGGAAAAAAATATAAAAATAATAAGGAAAGAATATAAATGTAATAAGGAAAAAATATAAATGTATAATAAGGAAAAAATAAAAATGTAATAAGGAAATTTTATATATAAAAAAAAAATATATATATACATATGAACTCTTTTTATTACATTTGAAAGCATAATCCAGAGCACGGTTAGCGAAGTCACGCTCGAAGGTAATATAGTTAGCGACACACGAGCGGGTTTTCCCGGGTGCTGTCACGCTTATCACATATTACGAATACGATAGAAGCTGAACTTTCGGCACACGCGGCCGTCCGCTGGACGCGTGCAGAGAGGCGCCTAGGAAGTTTTCAATAAACCGGACAATCTACTGTGCTCCACGGCCCCGACAGCCTGGCATGCGTCCCGCATCGTCGCATAATATATGGAGCGCAGCCTCTTTATCGTGACTACGCGAGTCACGTACACAGCAACGTCTCGTCTTGCAGTTATATTTTCGCGGTATCTCTCTGCCTTCTCGCGTTATGCGTCCAGCAGTTTTCAGATTGTACCCGCGCGATACTCTTACACAAGTGTAAAACACGCGAGAGCGCGGAGAAACCAGGACAATAATGTAGAGAGAGAGAGCTTGTTTAGATAATGTTTCGGAGATAATTGAAGCTGAATTTTCACGCGTGACCCAAGGAAACTGCGAGACCTCGACATATTTTTTAAGGAGAAGCGTCAAGCGATGAAAAATAATTTCGCTTCAATTTAATATCCGATCTCAATCTGCTTTTTAGATTGTTGCGATTTATTGAACAATTATTATCTGACGAAGGAGAAGAGGCCTCGTTAAGGGCGCCACTGTGGTCGCTAAGCAATCTTTGTAAACGTCTTTAAATCATTTCTGATCGTTACATCCTTTCGAATTTATGCGAGATGACCTTTACGGATGAATATTCATGTTTAAAAAAGTAGTTAATGCTCGATAACCTTTCGGCAAAATTACGAGGAATTAATCCGGCGGCTTTCTCTCTTTCTCTCCTCTCTCTCATACCTGAGCGCGGTAGGCTTGTTAACGAGCGGATTGATCGTTTGTTTTGCAGGGGGGAAGGGTAATTGTCGGTTGTGTTTAACAAGCGAATGTGCACACAAGGCGCACGTAAAGCAGACGCAAAACATACATTCTAATCTCATTGTTTCGCAATCACGGCGGTCGCCGATCTCGCGAGCGACCGCGCGCGTTCGTCGCACGCACGCACGCACAACGCGTTGAACTTTATTTATCCCGATTATCACGTCCGCGCGCCTCCTGCTCTCTCAGGTCCCCGAATTAGTCCCTAATTAATCCACGCCAGAGGAAATTGATCGCGACAAATTCCCGTCTGTGGGCGATAGATAAATATTCATGAGGGCCGGCGCGCGAGCGCGCTATCCACGACTTTCCGTTCGAGGGACTCGTTCTAAATTAAAAAGCTTATTTTTCTCGATCTAATGGGATTCCCTCGCATAATGGGGAAACGAGAGGCTGCGCGAAGGAAGTTTCGCCTCTCATGTTTCTCTCGACGCGTAATATCACGAGGTCGAGTCAAACCCGAGTACCTCGCGGTTGCGTTCTTTTGCGATCCCCGGCCGCCATCGGGAATCTCTCTCTGAAAGGCCATTATTGTTTAATTAACGACCATACGCGCCTCTTTAACGAGGTGGAATTATTCCGGTGTATCGCCCGCCGAGCCGCAGCTTATTAACGAATCGACCGATCTCGCGCGCGGGGGCCCCGCCTCGAGGATAATTGTCGGCTTTCTGCATCGCGCGACGTTTGAGGCTCTCGCGAGAGATCGCGAAGGGAGAAGGGCGGCGAATTGTGTGGCGTCTCCCTTCACCGATCTGGGACGCGGACGCGATGTAATAAAAGGCCGACAGGTCGGCACGGTCATATAGTTTGCTCAACCTGAAACGGGGTTACATCGATCTTCCGATGCGTGGGGGCGTGTAACCGTGAAATCGCGGACACATTCGATCATACGTGTATACGTGTGTGTATGTACGTTCACGTATAGGAGGAAAGTGTGTTATAGATATAAGGGGAAAATACGTTTCCACGTAAATGGAAGAGGCGCGACTCATTTCATTAATTTCCGCGTTAAACTTATTATATTATATGTGAACATGTAATGGAAGTTAGAATATATGGTTTTACCTGGAACTATTAACGCGCTCGCGACGAGATGATCTCTCCGTTTTGCAATAATAAAATTAGATCGCTATTCAAATTAACTCTTACTTCTATGATTTTACAGATATCAGGAGAAATTCACAGAAATTTTATTAAAAAATTACTAAAGAAAGCTAATTAAATTCTGGGAAGAAGCTAATCGAGAAACGGATCAATTTATAAAGCCTGCAAAAAGTAGGTAGGATATAGCGAATAAATCAAACGAGGTAGGAACAACGGCACGGAATTGGAAGATCCGATTTCATTTTCTTGGCGTCACTAAATATTTTTTGACAACTCCTGCGCGGAAATCCAGTTTCTCGGTTACGAAAAAACGTTGCAATAGCATCCCGATAATAATTTTTTACGGCGGCTTCTCACATGAAGACTTCGAGGCCGGCCGGGATCGTGTTCGTTACTTCGTCGGGAAGGGGCTTCTTTATTTTTAGTGATCCACCGACATTCACCGTGCCTCTTGTCACCATGAAATCCCGATACTCGCATCTCTCGCCCAGCAGTCCCGCCGACTTCCGGTTGCGCTTCCGCGTGGCTTCCCTCTACGGCGTTGCTCTTCCTTCCGCTGGGACCGATTACCACGCGATTTCCTCGTCGGGATTCCTTGGTCCCGTTTAGGCCCCGAGCGATCTCCGCTGTTTTGAGAACGCATTCTCACAGAAACAACATTTTCACCGCAGTGTTATTAGAATTAATATGAAATAAGTAACTAAACTTTATTAATAATAAATAAAGATAATTACATTAACGTGCTATAATTAGCAATTTTTAATTAACGCATGATTATTAATATATTAATGCATATTTGTTAGTAATATGACATTAATAAATATATTAATAGATTAGTCAGATAAATATTGGCAGTATCATTTCGAAAATGCTTGGTTTTCGTCGGAGCATTATACACTCTGCGTTATGAAAGACCGCACCAACAAATTCGTTTTATTATTTTGTCGACTGCGTTGAACCTCGACTGATGTAATATTGTGCTGAAGAAGACCCAAAAAAGGTCGAAATATCAATTTTATGTATTGACTGAGAATATAAATTACTACGCACCAATTACCGCGTCTTGCCTCTTTTTATTTATCTGATTTATTCGGGAGAACCTTATTTTACATTTTAATTTAATAGATTAAGATTTATTAACAATTAAATTATTATTAATAACTTACTTAATTTTGAAAGAAACTTTACAAATACAATATCCGTGATCATCAATTGAATAATCTTTAATTCTACATATTTAATCTTTAACGTATATATAAAACATTCATAGATGCTGCCGGATAGATTTCTACTCATGAAAAATATTATACTAATGATTATATTGTTATTAATATATTAAGAGCTTCGTCACATCTAATAATCATAATGTTGGAACTATGACATAATGTTAGCTCTAAACTTTCATATCTCTTTCGCTAGAGCCCACCTCCGCGTTCGGGGTTGATCGAACGGCGAAAGAGAGATAGGAATCCATGACGAAGCGTAGGTGGCAGCCGATGGATCGTTCCCGGGGCACTCCTATGGACGCAGGTGACTTACCTGGAAGTCCAATTAGAAGCGATTCCGTGATGGGGAATGAGCCGAGCGGCGTTCCGAGTGCGCATAAACGCGGACGCGCGCGATCGCGATCGCGAGAACGAGAGAGGAGCCCACCCACCCACCTACCTATCTCCCCCCGCTGGGCAAACGCCGGAGCTGCGTGTCGGCGAAATTGGCTTAGTCAGCGGCACATTACGGGGCATTACGGGACATTAACGGGACGTTATTGTACGGCAGCATCAGAGCTCACTTCGCCATCCGCGATGTTACATATCGAGGGCCCCGTGTCCGTGTCCGTGTGTGTTCGCTTGCGCGCGCTCGCGGACGCATGCACCCCGTATACCGGGCCGAAGAAAGAAAAGGAGCGGGGGAAGAGGGAGACGTAACTGTAGGTCACGTAGCTCGTGAATCATGCAACCTTACCTTTACCTCGTAAGCGATCGCGACTTCTGAGAAACCGTCGGACGCGCGCGGGTATACGTGCACACGGACACCCACGCGACCCCACGTAACCGAGACCCACACACGGCGCCCGATTCTCCGATACCACCTCTTCCATACGTGCACTCTCCCTCTCTATCTCTCTATCTCTCTATCTGTCTCTTTTCTCCGTCGCCGTGTCCGCGACCTCCGGACAGCCAACCCTCGCCGAAGGTCGCCAAGGCCTCAAGCGCAACGAGGTGCAGCGTGACGGATGCTGCTCTGCTCGGGCAGCATGGGGAGAACAGTACGGCTCTCGTAGGAACTGGGATTCGCGGTAATCGGTAGAACGCAGTTCCCGGAACGGAGATTCGCCAGGACCTTAACTTCGCCGCGGAGAAAGTCGTGGGTTTTTAGAACGGAATTCACAGAACTGTAAAAGCGAGAGATAGATGTCACACCTTGAGAGTTAAATAATGTATAGTTTGAAATTTGAATTAAATATTGAGGAGGAAAATTGAATTATCGGGATTAATATTGGAAAGAAGAATCGCAATGGAATTTTATCTTTCACATAAAATTGAGCCGGGATTAATGTCAATTTATGTAAAAAATAATTACATCAGGAAAATTATATGTTTCACGTTTAAAATTGCCTGACGAAAAGTTTGATACGTACAAAATCGATGTACGTGTTTACTTGAGTGATTTAACAAGAGAGAGATATAATACTGTTTTGTTAGAAACGCGCGGAGCGTCTTTATGAAGAGAATATGACGTACAACGTAAGCGCGAAACTTTGGGAAATG